ACATGAGGTATGTTATGGACAGCAAGAGCCTCCCAGGCGTCCTCATGGTGGTTTGGTGCCCCCTACAGATCTTGTGCGTCATTGCTTCAAGGAGCCCTTTGGTGAGGGGTCGAGGAGGAACCCCAGTGATCTTACTCCTATAGCTAGAGTGCTAGAGGCTATCATAAGGAGGACACTACTTCCCAGGCTGGGATACAGAGAGGGCTTGACTCGCCTCCAGCTTTGGCTCCTCAACGCCCTGATGTAGCAGACAATGTTTGATATTTGGGACCTTCTGCTATCAGAGATGGAGGATACTATAGCTGAGGGCTTCAAGGGTCATAGGAAGATTCCATATGCACATTGGATCATATTCTTTATTCTCAAGGCTGTGCAAGTTAGGACACCAGAGATGGTTGTAGAGTACAGAGGTGCCACCACAGAGTTTCCAGCTTATAACATGGCACAGAGGATTAGGCATAGCACACCACAGGCACCCACTCAGCCTCGCCGTCGTCCAGATGTACCAGAGTCCGTAGCTCAGCAGGACGAGATTATCAGAGGCATAGCCGCTACTGAGGAGGAGGAGCTTGAGGCACAGCAGGAGGTGAGCGAGCCTAGTGACAGCTCAGATGATGACTATCAGCCTATTCCTTAGATGCCTCCATGCAGACATGATGTAGAGGCCAACAGTTCTAGCTCCGCTCCACCTGCACCGCAGACGGACCCCGCTTTGATTGCTATCCTTGAGCCGATGCATCAGGATCAGGCTAGACAGGCTTAGGAGACCGCTGCCAACTTCACACAGTTTTAGGCTCGTTAGGACGAGTTCTAGCGCCAGCAGCAGGTCCTCCAGCAATAGCAGCAGCAGATGCATCAGCAACAGTTACTCATGCAGCAACAGCTTTTGGGATTCATGCAGCATGTAGTGACAGCCATTGGGGCCCCACAGCCACCGCCTTCACCCCAGATTGGTCAGCCTGCTACCACTATGATGACTCCAGCAGTATAGCCTAGTGGGCTTCAGAGTTAGGGACAACCTCCAGCTTAGTTTGCTTCTCCCACAGTACAGGTGTCCCAGTGGTTATCCTCGCCAGTGGTAGCCTCATAGTTCACACCACTTCGGACGGGCTTCACACCGGATCAGTCACCCTCGCTATTTGTGCCTAACACGTCAGTCTCCAGGAGTCTAGGAGCATCTTTTAGCGAGTTGACAGGGATGCCTACACCGCCACATATGTATGCCCCAGGTCCTTCTACAGCAACTCCCGTCGCCGTGACTACTCAGAGGCTCCCCTCTTCTGTTGCATCTTCAGATCCTCGGCAGACATACCAGAAGATCATCAGCAAAGACTGCCAGGCTGCACTCCAGACCGCTTTCAATGATGCTCCCGACCATAGAGGGTCAACAAGATAGAGCTCTGTGGTCGATGATGATGGCGCGCCAGCCCAGCTTTTGCTCCTCGTATTTCAGCGCCCGACTCGTCCGCTGCAGCCCCACCGACCGGCCCTTAGGTTTTGGTGTTTGACACCAAAGGGGGAGAGGGTTCGAGTATGTAGACTCAGGGGGAGTGACTTTTAGGGGGAGCCTAGTTAGCTATTAGTCTATTATATACATTTAGAGTTTTATTTGTGTGATACACTATTACTATTATGCATTCGTGTGTTTACCTTCATGCATTAAACTATATCTATGTGATAGTGATATCTACGTGATTGTGATATATGACATGTGTGCTCTCTACTTCATAACTATTTATATGTCATATCATTTGTGTTATGCTCATTTGCTTTGCTTTCGCGCTTATACTCCGATGCAAATGAACTTTATTACTTGTACTCATGCTTATTTAATATCTTTTGAGTACATTATGTTGGCTTGGGTCATATAAGCTTGCCTAACTCTTTTGTTCTTATTGACAAAAGCTTATATGATCCAAGCATGATAAAAAAACCTCAACTCTTTCACATACTCAAGGTGGTATTGTCATCAATCACCAAAAAGGAGGAGATTGAAAGCATCTAGGCCCCTAGTTGGGTTTCGGTGATTAATGACAATATAAGATTACTGTGACTAACGTGTGTTTTGCATAGGTAATTAAGTTAGGTCATGGTAATAGAGATCGATTGAACAATCATGGATGTCATGCCCCAACGATGGAAATCGTTTCAGTTTTCAAAGGATGGACGACAACGTTAAGGATGACTAGTTCTAAGTGTCGATTGGAGTTGGAGAGACACTTAGAGTAGTTTAAGACTTTGTTTTTTTTCCTTTGACCGTACTATTAAGGGGGGGTATGGACGGGTAGCTTGACCTAGGTGAGTCTAGTGAGTTAGGTGTGGTGCACACTTGTTAAAACTAGCACTAGGTAGCTCCTAAATTTACCTAAGATCCTTTGGAGCAAACTTCATTCGCATATGATCGAGAGTTGGAAGTGAATGGAGGGTCAAATACTGAACGGACGCTGGCTTCGGTGCGACCGGATGCTGGCCGCAGGGTCCGGTCAGTTCATTTGACCAAGGAGATTGCGTCTGGTGCGACCGAACGCTGAGTGGTCGAGTGACCTGACGCTGAGGACCAGCATCCGGTCGACTCCAGTAAGGTTCCAGTGAGGGATATTTGCGACTGGACACGTCCGGTCAGTGGTGATCGGACCCTGCCAGCGTCCGGTCAACACTTAAACACTAGAGTGCGGGTTGAACTGACCGGGGCATCCGTTCGACATGACCGGAGCATCCGGTCACCCCACAGAGGCACATAACGGTTCGTTTTTCAGCCCATGTTATAAATAGAAGCTCCACGCGTGTGTGGAGTCACTTTTGCTCATTCCAACAGCTGAGAAACATGTTTGTGAGTGCCAAGAAGAGCAAGGTCCTAGTGAGGTGATTGAGATTTGAGAATCCCAAAGAGAGCCCTCATTAGTGAGATCAAGAGTAGCAAAGTGTGCATCCATCCTTCTCCCTAGGCTTATCGTGGTCAAGTGAGAGTTCGTGCTTGTTACTCTTGGTGATCGCCATCACATAGATGGCTTGATGGTGATTGGAGAGCTTGGTGATCATCCAGAGAGCTTGTGGATGACCCAACTCAAGTTGTGAGCGGTTGTGGGTGATTCACCGCGACGGAGTGTCGAAGAATCAACCCATAGAGAGCACTTGATCCTTACGCGGATCAAGGGGGAGCTACACCCTTGCGCGGGTGCTCCAACGAGGACTAGTGGGGAGTGGCGACTCTCCGATACCTCGGCAAAACATCGCCGCGTTTCCTCTCCTCTCTTTACTTTGAGCATTACTTTGAGCAATTCAATTCTTGTCATTTACATTCCTAGAATTGCCATGCTAGAGTAGGATTGGAACTTAGGTTGTAAGTCTATTTGTGTGATAGAACATTAGAAACAATTTCTAAGCACAAGGGGTTAATTGGGCTATCAATAGGTTTTAATTATTGCAAGAAAATTTAGAATTAGCCCAATTCATCCCTCCTCTTGAGCATTTTGATCCTTTCATCACGCCCTCTCTGGGGCCGTGCACAGCCTATCTAGGTTTCCAAACCATACGCACTGTGAAACCGAGAGAGTTGGCTCTGAATACCATTTGTAACACCCCAGGCCCGGCACACGGCCTAGGCCCACTCTGTCGAGGGGTGGGCCCCACCTACGTACAACCTGTTTGCACTTTCGTCCTCACTTCGCGTAAAATGGTTAACAGAAGGTTACTACGCGTCCTTGGCCTGGCTATTTAAGCTGGTTCGACGAACCCAGAATTCACCATATGGTACTAAACTTCTGGTTGCATAGTGTTTTCCATAGTTACAGTACTCGAATTCAACCTAGCCCAATTCAGCCCTATAACTACAGTAGCCCATCCCATGAGCTGTCTCTCACAACAGCGAAGAGGAGGAACGAGCAAGAAAGAACGGGCTTGGTCCCTCTGATTCAATAATTGATGGGTAAAAGATAAGGACAAGGACAAAGTTATCTTTTTACCAAGCCTGGAAAATAAAAAAGGAGAAGAGAAAAATAGAAAATAGTGAAAAGAATGAGGAAACAACCAAATTGATGAAATTCATGTGCACGGTGTCATATTTTGGAAGGCATACCAATTGAGTGTCAAGAATGTTGAGGTGTACATATTTGGTGTCAAATATCGAAGTATCTCCAAGTTACTAGTGTTTTTATGTATAGAGGCACGTGTTGCTCATAAAGTCCTACACAACAAGATAACACATATTCAAAACAGTTGAAAAATTATGTCCATGGTCAATATCGAAAGCAAGAGCCATGGTTCATTATGAGCTTATTTATTAGACCCATTAGCTCTAATGGTTAGTTGTTTTTGATCCAAATAGTCTAGCTGAGGGAACAACTATCCCGATAAAAATCTTTGGAATAGATTATCAATAGACCCCTTTTGTCCTCTGGTTACTCTCTTCTCCACTTTGCATGCGCTCTTGTCAAGGGCAGTCAATCTATTAGCCAAAAATAAAAATCCTTGGCTAATAGTTAGCCTGCGAATATGGGCTTTAAGCTAACATCATGCCATCAATTGAACATCTTGTTTTATCAAGAAAACACAATATCATACTATTTTGAACAACACCATATCATACAACATAAGATATACAACGCTAGCAATACAATACTTGTTGTATAACAAGTAAGGCCTCATTTGTCACGGGCATACATGTTGTAGCCAGGAGCCACCTATAAAAAAAAAAACACTGCAGTGCACCATATACGCCCATACTGCCGAAGCCGGAGCAGCCATGAGCATGAGCCGTGGCCTGATTTGGATGCGCACTTATTTATCTCAAGCCACATGTGTTAAAGTAGATTGAAGTGGAATTAAACTAAGTTTCATTCTATTCCACTCCGACACATATGAATAAAGGTAAATACACGTACAACCAAACAAGGCCTAATACAAACTCCTGCTGCCACGCACGCACGTAGCGAGCTCGCTCCGGCACACGGGCCACCGCCTGCATGCAACTATATGCAAGCAGGATTCTACTTGATCATAACTCATGTCTTCAGACTTCTGTTGAGCAGTTCAGGCAGCAACCACGTAACATGGGCGAGGGCGTCCCGAAACACGCGGAGCAAGTCCGCCGCCGGACCCAGGCGGCGGTAGTGAGGCGGCGGGTTTCCCGCGGGCGGCGGCGGCGTGAGCTTGTGATTCCCGGTCACACCGGGAGACGAGTCGACGTCATGCGATGGCTCGTGCCCCGGTTGCGGCCTGTAACCAGGCTTCGGCGCCGGCGGCGCGAGCCCTCCCGGCCTGCTCACGCCGGGCAGCACGTTGAGCTTTGGAGAGACGACGACCGCACCGTCGTCGCCGCCGCCGCTTGGTAACACTAACACCGATGGCAAGCCGCCGACGTGCTGCTCTTGCGTCGAACCACCTGATGATCAATAGAAGTTTATGGTCAGTCAGTAATCGGAAGGCATCAAAAGAAGAAACAAACAGACGCGCGCAGCGTAAGCGCACCGAGCTCTCGTGCTTGGAGTTGCTGCACTGGAGCCAAAAGCAGCAGGAGGAGCGCCAGGAGAAGAAGCTTGGGAAAAACTGAGCTCTCCATGGCGACTGGCCGTTCGAGGCGACTGGCTGGGTCTCTCTTGTGTGGTTGTGGACCTGTGGAGTTGAGTTCAGCTGTTCAGGAGTCGTGGTTGTGTGGTCTGGATTGCCTATATAGTCGATCGATCTGAGGAGTACTGCTGGATTAGCGGTTGTGTCATGCGTGTGTGGACGGGCCGGGGCAAGTCAACTCTTGGTTCCTAAGCGCTCTCGACTGGTTCGGTTCGGGACTGGGACAATGGACGACCAGGGCTGCAAGAAGACAAGAACTACTCTTACTTAAGTAGTGGTTGTACCGCGTACAGACACATGCATTAGCAGCTAACGGCCAATCATCGAGTCGTTCTACACTTCTACTATTTTCAAAGCACTCAAGTTGTTGGAGCAACTGCGACTCTGCGAGGTTGCAGACGTGCATTCAGACAGGAGAAGCGACAAATATCGCTCATAACCAGAACTTCAGGTTACTAGGGGGTTAGGCCTCAAAATTTGCTCTGCCAAAATTATGGCTAGCCAAAATAAGGGCATGCCAAATTCTAGTTGACAAAACCTAGACAAAAAATTTAGTATTGGGATTGCCTTAGTTTTGGCTAGGCAAATTTTAGAGCTCAACCAAATGACTGCCTTAGTTTTGGTTAGGCAGATTTTGAAGCCCAACCAATCATGCTCCCTGATCATAGTCAATAAAATAATATAATTCTGGATATAAATTTAAACAAGCATTTGCCTAGTTTCATATCTAGAATTCTATTCTTTTTTAGATGGAGAGAGTACTTGCTACTCTTTCGTTTCAAATTATAAAGCCGTTTCACCTTCTTATAGATAATATACATGTTTTTTTTTACTATCTATCTAATAAAAACTAGACATTTAGAAAGAAAACAAAATGACTTAAAATTTAAAACCGAATAAGTAGGTCTTTTCAGCAGATATATTACATACTCTTGCTAGTTTTCTTTTAAATCACAGTACAAACGCAAGCGCTCATATACTCTGAAAAAATAGCTAACACCGCAAAATACTAAAATAAATTTAGAAAATGCGATCACTGCATCAAGTCCATCCATAACTTTAATCTGAGTAAAAAGATTGCACCCTAAAAAACATAACTAATTGAGTGTAGCTCAGTTTGCTTACTCCTGCCAGTTATACAAAAGGCCTAGCACTCAGGGCTTGTTTAGATTGAAGCTGGCAATCGTTGTCCAGGCATCCTTCTCACTAAGGCTGGACAAAAAAAACTCAAAGCTCGTTAGTTCACTCGGCTTGTGGCTGAGCCAAGATTTTAGCTCGTTAGCTACAACGAGCTAACACGAGCCAGCTATATTTCTCATAAAAAACTTGTGCCAGCTCGTGAGTCGCTCGCGAGCCAAACGATCCACGCTTCCAAAAAAAAAACAATAGAACTTATATTAGTTTTGTATTACTTCATGTCTTATACTTTACAATTGATTGATAACTAATCTAGACTCTATAAACTTAGGACTATTATGACTTTATCGTTTTGTTTTTAATGGATGTATGGATACTCATGGACGTATTATGTATGATATGGAGTATGGACCATGGATGCATGGTGTAATACTATAGTATATTATTATACTTGTATATATATTAGGACATACGAATATTTTGTTTGATTTAAGGCGGTTGGATATGTTACTTTTGTAATATTACTATTCTTAAGCTTTAGATAAATACAAATATTATATTTTATGTAGTTTTTATACCTAGCTCATGAGTTTAACAAGCCAGCTCGAGCTCATAAACGAGCCGAGCCGAGCCGGTATTCTGAGCCGAGCAGAGCTGGCTTGTTATCCAGACCTACTTCCCACACTCGGTACTAGGATGCATTTGCCTGGTAGGCCTTCACCGCCACCGGTCGATTTAGCTTTCTCACAAAGGTCATCAATCTAGTTTTCTCACAAAGGTTCTAGAAGACTCGAGAAGACACCACACCGAAGCGGAGGGCGAGGCACCGCCAGGTGGCGCTGGCTGGCCCTTGGGGCCCACCTGTCAGTCCCCCGTTGTTATGTTGGTTTTCCACCGCCTTAAGGATTGCATCTCCGCCGTTCTTTAAAGTCGGTTTGATCCGATGGTCCAGAATTGATGCTTCGGCCTATATATAGCAGCCCTACCCCCCTCCCGAGAGGCATCCCTAAAACCCTAATTCATATCCCTCATTCAGATCAACACACATCAGAAGGATTAGATCTAGAGCTCTCCAATATAGTAGATTAGTACCTCGGGAGTGAGGGTGGAGTTGGGCTCATGCTCAAGTTCCGTATCTAGTCTTGGAGGCTAGGCAAAGTCTTGTATCTTCACTGCTACATCTCGTAAGACTTATTAGTCTTAGCTATAGTTGGGTGTATATATATACTTTGACCATGTAATAGGAATATCATAGAAATCTACCTCACCCGTTGTTCTCCTGAGTTAACTAGTTTACACTATCTAAGTGATCTATCCCCTTAGTGTCATTAAGCATTACTCCTATCATTACATTTATCCCCTGCTCTAGCTATGTTGGTACGTTAATAGATACTTTTTTGTTATCCAATAAATCTTTACTCCATTGTTTTCTTGTGGTAAAATATAAATAATGATACCTGGAATACTTCTGGTAAAATGCTATAATGGTATTCTGTGCGCTTGCGGAATCCTTCATATTCTATTTGCGTTAATAAATACCAACATACGTGTCCTTGGCCTGGCTATTTAAGCTGGTTCGACGAACCCAGAATTTACGGTATGGTACTAAACTTCTGGTTGCACAGTATTTTCTACAGCTACGGTACTCGAATTCAACCTAGCCCAATTCAGCCCTACAACTACAGTAGCCCGTCCCATGAGCTGTCTCTCACAACAGCGAAGAGGAGGAACGAGCGAGAAAGAACGGGCTTGGTCCCTCTGATTCAATAATTGATGGGTAAAAGATAAGGACAAGGACAAAGTTATCTTTTTACCAAGCCTGGAAAATAATAAAGGAGAAGAGAAAAATAGAAAATAGTTAAAAGAATGAGGGAAACAACCAAATCGATGAAATTCATGTGCACGGTGTCATGTTTTGGAAGGCATACCAATTGAGTGTCAAGAGTGGTGAGGTGTACATATCTGGTGTCAAATATCCTAGTATCTCCGAGTTACTAGTGTTTTTATGTATAGAGGCACGTGTTGCTCCTAAAGTCCTACACAACAAGATAACACATATTCAAAACAGTTGAAAAATTATGTCCATGGTAAATATCGAAAGCAAGAGCCATGGTTCATTATGAGCTTATTTATTAGACCCATTAGCTCTAATGGTTAGATGTTTTTGATCCAAATAGTCTAGCTGAGGGAACAACTATCCCGATAAAATCTTTGGAATAGATTATCAAAAGACCCCTTTTGTCCTCTGGTTACTCTCTTCTCCACTTTGCATGCGCTCTTGTCAAGGGCAGTCAATCTATTAGCCAAAAATAAAAATCCTTGGCTAATAGTTAGCCTGCGAATATGGGCTTTAAGCTAACATCATGCCATCAATCATAGATGGCCAACGGGCCGGCCCGGCCCAGCATGGCACGGGCCCATGCCAGGCACGGGCCGATAGGGGTCGGGCCGGCATGGCACGCCGTGCCTCCCGGGCCGTGCCTCACAAGGCCACGAGCGTGGCCTCCGGCCCAAGCACGACACTATGGGCCGATTTTCGTGCCGGGACGGCCCGAGAAGCACGGCCAATTTCACAGGTCGTGCTAGCCCGAGGCCCACTGGCCGGCCGTCAGCAGAGAGAGAGAGAGGGGAAGGGAGAAGGGGAACCCGAGAGGTGTAGGGGGTTGACGCCGCTCGCCGCCGAGGAGATCGACGATGGATCCGGAGGAGGCCGGCGCGCTCGCCACAGAGGAGCTCCAAACGGATCCGCAGGAGCAGGAGGCGTGGACCGATGGAGGAGACTGACGCCCACGAAGCTGGATCTAGAGGAGCCGCTCAAGGCCGGCCACCAGGCTCGACGCTAGTGCGCTCGATGCCGCCATGCTCGAAGTCGCCAGGCGCTAGCCGGTGGTGCGAGGGGCGTGGAGGAGGCGGGCGCCGGCCAGTGGTGCGGGGGCGTGGAGGAGAGGAGAGGTCGCGCGAGGAGCCGATTACGCCGAGGAGAGGGAGGAGGCGTCCCGCATCCGTGCTCGCCTCGCCCGACGCGAGGGAAGGGAGGGGGCGTCCACGGCGCCGGGCAGAGGTGAGGAGGAGGAGGAGGAGCGAGTGCGACAGCAACACTGTGGCGTGGGGAGGGGTCTACGCGGGGGAGGGGAAGGGATAGGTAGGGTTCGACAGTTCAGGGGTGGGGGTTGGGGTAGGGGCGGGCCGGGCCGGTTGGAGCTATTAGCAGGTCGGCTGGCCGGGCCGCCACCGAGCCATGCGCGGTGGACCGGGTCGTGCCGTGCCGGCCCACGTGCCTGGGGTAAGGCCCAGGCACGGCCTGCTCCTTCGGGCCGTACCAGCCCGGGCCCGCTCACCACCGGGCGGGGCCTGGCCAAAAAAACGGGCCTCGTGCCGGGTCGATGGGCTCGAGCTGCATGGCCAAATATACCATCAATTGAACATCTTCTTTTATCTGGAAAACACAATATCATACTATTTTGAACAAAACAATATCATACAACATAAGATATACAACGCTAGCAATATAATACTTGTTGTATAACAAGTAAGGCCTCATTTGTCACGGGCATACGTGTTGTAGCCAGTAGCCACCTATAAAAAAACACTGCAGTGCGCCATATACGCCCATACTGCCGAAGCCGGAGCAGCCATGAGCCCATGAGCCGTGGCGCCGTGCCAAAACGAGCCTAAGGCTTGGTTAGGATACGCATGTATTCATCTTAATTTACATGTGCTGAAGTGAATTAGAGTGAAATTAAAATAAGTTACATTCTATTTCACTCCAACACATATGGATTGAGATGAATACACATGCAACAAACAGGCCTAATACAAACTCCTGCTGCCACGCACGCACGTAGCGAGCTCGCT